AAAAAAGGGAGAATAAGAAGGCGATGTGTGAAGGTCCCGGCCTTAGTGGCAACTCTCCTGGATTCGGCTGGAAGTGTAAGAGGAACTGTCGAGACTTTTGTCGAGACGAGTTCCAGAACTACTTCGGCAAGACCAGCCGCCTATTTTGGTGTAAATGCCCGATGGACGGTAGCTTCGGCCGAATGGTGGACCCTCCTTGCCCTCCTGGTGAATCACTCATCATGGGCAAATGCTACAAGTCTTGTCCTGCTGGCATGCAACCAAGTTTGATCCCAGGTAGATGCTCTACTGACTGCTCTCGGAATACCAATGGCTTGGTTAAGGCATGTGGGTTGGGGTGCTCCAGGACAGCGTTCGAATGTGGCACAGCTGTAGGAGCAATGGTCGCTACAGTGGGTGCCTCCGTCCTTGGAGCGTCTGCTGAACTCGCCCCACCGTTGATCTCTAGCGTACTTCTCGGGCTATCGAAAATGATCGCCTTAATCGCCGAGATCGTCCAAGGCCTCTCTAGTGAGATCAAGAACCTACTGCAAGGTCGGGGGTTGAATGTTGGTAGGATGGTCATGATGGGCGCAATGATGTTCACTTACTTCACTGAGATGGACTCGAGCCCAGAGACGCTATTGAAAGGCGCTCAACCCTACTCTGAGTCCATTCAGAGTATCATCACTTTAGCTAACCAGCGTGGGCATGCAAATTTCAAAGCTGGTGTTGAAGAGCTGATAGGTGGCCTCCAGGAGAAGTTTGCTTCAGTGACGGGAAGCATTGTCAACATCTTTGCGGCCTTCTCCCAGCCTCAGTGTACGTAGGTGCGCTAACCGCTCGTTGAGTGATTGTGATTGTTCATACAGACTGTTCATGTGTTCATGATGACTGTGATGTTGTTCAATTTAGACTAGTGTTCGTCTTCTACCAGTGATCGACCCGGTTGATGGCCGGAGGAATTTGGGAATAGACTACACAATAGATTTGGTGACGTATATTAAACACTTCTTCCACGTAACATAGTGGGGATATCGTGTTCTGGAAGCGAGGGAAATTCTGGAAAATTATCACATAACACACAAATGTTTATGCTTACGTCTCGTCCACCCACGGCATGGAGGTGGTCAGCCAACGAACAATCAAGGTCAACTCGCTGAACCAGGTAAGGTCAGCAAAGACACCCGGCGCGGAGAGGGTCAAATACGCTGTGTCGACGCGATTTCTACTTACCGTCCAGGAATCTTTTCCGCCACCACTTCAGCGAGTAAGGAAATCAAATTTGCGGATAAGAATATCAATTTCGGGTTGCACTTGGGACGAATCAATCGCGTATCCTACACCGTAAAACACTTCGAACTCGAGACCGCCAATAACGAGGTGAACCTTGGTGAGAGAGCGTTGTATGTACAACAGCTCCTACAAGCTCAGAGAAATAGTAGATTCATCATCTACGAGAGTAAATCGAATTACAATTTGTGGGTACGCAGAAGCGTTGGTCGGTTGAAGTGGGGCAGGTGGTGTAACACCAAGAGAACTACGGGGCTTGGATAGAGGTGGGCATCCGGCGATTTTCTAGTCGCCCGGCCCGGCCCGGCAGTCTTTGAACCCGCTTCCCCGGCCCGGCCCCGGTGACCCGGCAGTCTTTTCCTACCCATGTTTCGGGTTTAGTGGGCCCGCCGGGTTGGCCGGGTAACCCGGCCCGGATCGCCAGGCAGGAAGGCTTTCGGACATGATCGACGGTAAGAACTTCTTATTAAAAAGAACCAATATCAGCGCTGCATAGATCAAACAATATTCCAATGTGCCAAGTCACGCAATTGAAACGCGAAGTGCACAATGAAGAACAATGAAGCACAGTTAAAGGCTTGAAATATCTGCGCTGCCGGTATTCTGGGTACCCGCAGACAGCTGCGGGTCATTTTTCGCCCGCTCACCCGCATGACCCCGGCAACACTGGCGGGGAAGCCGGGTTTGTGACTTTGACCCGGCCCGGCCGGCTCGTTCCGGGGTCGGGCCGGGGCGAATCCGCCGGATTCGCGACCGGATTCAATCCGGTCGCCGGGGCCGGGCCGGGCCGGGGCGAATCGGGTCGCCGGAGCCGGGCCGGGGCGAATCCGGTCGCCGGGGCCGGGCAAGGGTGCCCATGTCTAGGCTTGGAGTCCAGGCTGAGGAAGAACTACACATTTGTTATGCGCAGAGGGAGCCACTACCGGCTTGACTCGTTGAGGATCGCTTGATAGGGTGGAACTCATTTGATGATCATGCCGAGTCATTGATGCTGCTGTTAAACGAGGACTCACTGCGAGCCCAGCTACGGAACTGATGGGATAATCTATGTCATCGACAACGCTCCTGGAACTAGGAGGGAGCCGGGTAAACGACAACTGGAGAAGAGCTCACGGTGATTCTGAGTTTAGCTGCCCTCTCGCTCGTTCGACGACTACCCTCGTCCAGATGAGCTCATCAACTATGACTCATGTTCTACGATCCTCATCATCATTGCTCCTCCTTTGCATCGCATCTCTACGTTATGTTACCCAAGTATGCCAACCTCACCGTCAGGGGAGAGGATAGGATGGAAGTTTCGAAGGAACGCGCTCAGAAGGTAAAACTCTATCCGCTTATCGATGGCGTACGGAGACGTACGCCAGAGAAGACAATAGATCAATACTTCACTGTAAGCAGTTG